TGTGGGGTTAGGTGTAATGGGGGAAGGGGCGGGGAAGGGGCAGGGCCAAGGGTGCCCACGAAAAAGCTTTGCCCAGGGTCCTATTCATACTATAGACTGCCCTGACTGCCATACTGTCCCAAAGAAAGCATAGGTCCAGCAAACTAATATGGCAAATATCAATATGTAAAAACGAAAAAGGGGAAAGCCCTATATTTGACCGTGTAATTCTCCAAAACACCATAAAACCTGTACAGGGTAGGTACTTCTGTATCGCTAAATACAAATATGTGAAATTTATTGCAGTAAAATCTAACTGTATTATGACATTAACAGTTAAATGCCATGCAGAATTTAAAAAATAAAATTTCTTAAAAGTTTTTTAAATTGTATTCATATTAAATTATGTTTCATATATAAATATTTCATATGAAATGAAAGCCCTTTTTCTCCTGAAGAACATGCTATATAATACGTGTGGGTGAACTTAATATGAAAGAAATGACTTATGGTTGAACTGACATAGCACTAATTTTATGGCAGGACAGGAAACTTTATATTTGCTTTATCTTCTTTACTGAAACCTCCAGCAGCAAAGAAACAGTTAACAGAACTTTTAAAATCAACCAATCAGAACAAAACAACAGCAGTATAAAACCACTTAGGCAGGCCTTTCCACTTCCTCTTTCTTTGCTGCTGCCTCCAGGTGAGCACTCACCAACTCAGAGTTGTCACTGCTCTGGATTGTTTTTTCTCCTACCTGATGCTTGTTTATTTATGCAGTTTATTTGCTAGGTTTACTTAGGCAGCTTAATTGCTGGATTTATTTGGGCAGTTTGATTGCTGGATTTATTTAGGCAGTTTGTTTGCTGGGTTTAATTAGGCAGTCTATTCTGTGTTATTTAGCTGCTGTATCACTTTATACAATCTATTGCTGTATTTTTAGGCTATTTATCTGTTATATTATTACTGGATACTGCTCATTGATGTAATATTATACTGGGTTACTTCATGCTGTTTTCTCACTCTGTACTGTGCTACTCTGCTGTATCACCCATCTGCGGTCTCACCCACCGAGCTGCCCTGCTGCTTGCTGGCCATGTGGCCAGCCTCCCCTCTCCCTGTATCAGGGGTAATAGCCCAGTTTTCCACTAATCCTATACCTACTGTGCCTGTCTCTTCCACAGCTCGCAATTGCATCTTACTATGCTGTTTGATGCAATGTGATTATGTTCTCTATCTTAGCAGTAGACTTGTCACTGTTATTCCCTATATAAATGTGAATTTCAGATTTAAACGGGCATGCCACAGCTCAAATAAAAAAAAATTGTTTTAAAAAGATTATGCCACAAGTGGATATAGGCTAATCAAGTTTTTCTTAAGGTTCAGTCTTTTTCTCATAAAATTAAATGGCCTGTTTTCAGCATCCAGCTCCCCTGTCTAGGACTTGCTGCCCTTCCTGCAGGGGACTTCAGTTTTTTCCACTATACATACACTTCAACAGCGTATCCCAATAAGGCTGATTTTACTCTGTGGCTGGGTAGGGCAGTTCACCATGCCCTAGGCCACCTGAGTGGTCTGTAGACGTGGTTAGTCAGCTTAAATCTGTATGGATATAATGCATATGTAACAGAGCCTGGATAGCAGGATCTGTCCCAAGCACTCCTTTCTACCGCTCAGGGGGGCTAATTGACTCCACATGCAACCATGTTATTACAGGGGATAACCCCCCTATCTATATTTATGGGACACTGCCCTCTGCTGGACCATAATAATGGACGTGTGACCCCCTCCCTCTGGCAACATGGCTACCGATGAGTATCTTACTGGCTCTACAGAACCCTGTAGTATTAGTGCTGAGGGTGACCCCCTCCTGCTTCCTACACTAATGCACTCGCAATGCCCTGTTAATATCAACTGAAGGTGAACCCTTCCTACAGTCTACACTGCTGAACCGGCAGTGTCCGGGAATACCCATAAGGAGGGTACCCCTCCCAATGATTGTGCTACTGTTCTTACAGTGCCCTGCTATACGCAATACTGAGGGTGACCCCCTCCTGTGGACTACTCTGCTGGACCTACAGCGTCCCGTTATAACCATAATGAGGGTGACCCCCTCCCGCTGACTGCACTTCTCGGTGTACAGACCCCTACGATACCCACACTGAGGGTGACCCCCTTTTACCTACTGCACTGCTGAATCTGCAATGCCTGGTTATGATTATATGAGTGTGACCCCCTCTTTGCGTCTGCACTGCTTGCCCTGCAGTGCCTGGTTATTTTATTATACGGATAACCACTACTTCACAACTGTACCTACAGTGTCTGATGTTCAGACTGAGGATGACCCTCTCCCCTGCTGGCCTATACTGCATGGTATGCTTGTGCTTGTTGGGTGACCCCCTCTTGCACGCTGGGTGACCCCCAGCTGGCCGCACCAGGAACCACATTGACAGTGTTGCCTCTATGGCAGTTATGCAATCACGACTGACGGCCACATTTTCCATACCCAGAAGGCCGCTGGGCCTGTCCTCATGCAGCCCTGCTGGCCTCACTGCCAGAAACCCTACAGGGGACACTCCACCGGCCGTCCTAGACGCTACACCAAGCACCCCGATACTCGTTTGGCTGACAGATGAATTCATCAAGAGGATCAGTCTTAAAACTGAGTCCGGAAAGGACCCCGCAAACACCTGACACGAGGTTTGCACTCTATCCAGGACTAAACACTGGATGTCGATGACACGCGAACACAGATGTTTTTCCTCAGGACGAACGATGCGCTACAGCTTGGAAAGCAGGGAAGACTAACTCCCCATCGGGAATGGGCCAATATTACTTATAGGAATCACCTATTTGGTTTCTACCCCTGAGAGACACAAAAGGACCCTATCCAAACTGGACAGCAAACTGACGGATTTGGCATCCAAAGTTCTGGTTCTGCTCTCCGAAGTTGCCCTCACATACAAATTGAACCGGCACATTTCTATTCATAGGGTCTTTCCTTAACCAGCCCCAGAGGTCTCTCAGACTGTGCCCGGACTCAGGATTAAGGTTGCTGAACCTTGGAGGACCAAAGAGGCGTCCATTCCGGCTCACTCCGAAGCTTGCCCTGCTGGGTGAAGGGTGCAGTAGAGTGGACTCCCACCCCATTCCCACGCTGCATATGTCGCCTGTTGACACTTCAAGACAGAGGGCACTGATCCCCTCAGAGCTGGTCTGCATGGACGATTGGTTCTCTCTCTCAACTGGACATGAGAGAAACCTGCATGGATTTCACCATCAATGTGGACATATTGGATCTGACTCACTCCCAGTCAGCCCGGTTTCTGGTTTTCATGGAATACTCGGTCCAGGCGGTACTCCGCCTTCCGAGGACTAAGATGTCCATCTTCAAGAAAAATACCAGACAGATGCTCTGCAACCCGCGGGTCACACTTAGGGGTCTAACCCGGTCGATTGCCCGTTTGTTATCTGCCATGGAGGCCATACCTCCAGGATCAGGACCGAATCATGCGACCTTCGGACGAAGCTCATCTAAAACTTTATTGATGACTCCAACATAGGGGGACCTGGCCTACTAAGGAGTTTCAAAAAACAACCAAACTTTGACCTGGACTTCGACACCGGTGGAATGGATGGGGGCGTTGCCTGCGATGGTGTGATGACAAGAGGACTCTGAAGGGAAGGGGTTAATGATTCTCATCTATAATTTCTCATATTATATTCTCTTTCCTGAGATTTACACAAGAGCTGAAAACTAGACAAACCACAGGTTATTTTTGATTTATCGCTTCTGCTTTTCAATTAACAGACGCATCCGCAAACTAACGTTGACCTGATGCTTCCGAGAAAAGTATCATGCAGAATAAGACATGCTTGACCACAAGAAATGTGGTCATTTGCAAGATCAGCTATTTCCGATTTTTAGCAACATTTATCTTTTGTAAGCACATTTTGACCAATGTATGTCAAAGTTCATAACCAATACTGTATAAATATGCCATCCTTTTTATAATACATTTGAAGATTTTGGAAAGCAAAGAGTGTGTGTCTGGTTAATACGCTTCCATAAAAATCTTCCCTGAATATTCAGCTGACAATCGAGGGTTGGAGAATAGTGACCAGAGGGATCGAGTCACCAGAGTAGCAGATTTACCTTTCAGACTCTGTATCCCAGAGGAGGGACCTCTTCACACCAAGTGCATGGAACTACCTGCAGGTTCGTTCGCAGTTTGCAGCTTCCCCAGGGGAAGTAGTACCGCTCGCTACCTTCCGGAATGGACTTGTCACCGGTTGCCCACTCCGGACTGCAGTCGGATCTCATGTAGGTTCTCTATCAATATCGTCTTGACAAGTATTTGTCATTTGCAACAGAATGTCTGCGGGAAGAGACGCTCATGTAGCGGATGGCTGCACCCGACAATGCTCGACTCCAACGATTGGTTGCTTCACACTCCAGGGTATCGAGTACTGGCATGATTACATTCGGTGCGAACCACCATACGGAGCGGTTCTTCACCTGTCTTCCGGACCCTCAGCAAGGCGATGGACGCGTTATCCAAGCTTGGTCTCCTTGGCGTATGCATCCCGTTTCCCTACAGGACACTTCGGGCTTTGCGTCAGCCCGAACTCCTGGGAGTGTCGCTTTGCCTGGCCACACCACTTCGTGGGAGTCCTCTGTGCTCCCCTCTCTTGCTGGAGTTTTCCATGGGAAGGCAATTTACTACTCCCTGTCTCTGAGTGTCCTGTGTGGGATCCACAGGGGAGCCTGCCACGACTGCTGTCTGGAGAGATGTCCTTACCATGACTGTCCTCATTGTCTGGCTGAATTGCCCTCTCAGGGTAAGTTCGTATGGGGCCATTTACGTCCTAGGTCAGCTAGTTTGACGGCTCATGTGTTTCTGAAGATTCTGGCATTGGTGCAGATCTCTTGGTCTGCAGTCTACCAAGAGGGGTATACTTTACGGGAGCCCTATCTCTCGCTATTCCTCATTTCTAAGTGGTATCGGGTGTTCTGCATTTCCTTGAGGAATGGTCTGATGACAAGGACCAGTTTTTCCGCTTAACGGTTACCCCAGTACGTCTTGTACTTTTCATCGTGTTCTGACGTTCGTGGTGTTGACGTAATGTCTTTTTCCTTCTCACTATTCAGTGCGTCGTTCTCTGCTCCACACAAATATGATTTATATTCGTTTACTGTGTTGTACCCCTATTCCCCGGATAGACCACGGCTCTGTTGACCGGTTGTACACGACCATGTAGATCCAGGATATCGTTCTTTCGTGCGTCTAGTCATGGACAGCTGTTGATTTTGGCATACGACCGTTTAGGACTGTTTCTGCATCTTCGCTTGCCCGTTGGGTTTGGTGGATCCTCTCATCGCCTGACCTTGAGAGTTCCTCTGGGACACATTGGGTTCGGGGTGCTGCCACCGCAACAACTTTGGAAGCCGTTGGGTCCCTTCTGGATGTTTTCTACTCCACTGCTTGGTCTAGGGAATCGGGTTTTCCATATTCCTTTTATTCAGTCCTCTCTCATATTGCTTCTGGGGTTTTTTTTTTTTGTTTTTTTTTTTATTATTTGGGAGTTAAAATTGCAAATATGAAGCCTCATGTCCTGCCATAAAATTAGGGATTATTCTAGCTTCGGTGAGGGAATAATCTAAATTAAAGACAGGAGGCAAATATTTCCCCCGCTTTTACGTTCCCTCCCTGGAATTGGGTCTTATTCTATTAATTGGGGATATTGTTAGGTTTTGTGAATGCATAGTTTTACATAATAAAGGTTACAGTGACGTTTGTCCGTGTGTGTTTTATTAATCATGTCTGTGTTGTAATTATGTTTAGGTACATACTAGATACAAGGTCTTCATAAGATCTGTAGACTCTGTTTATTCATCAGGTATTCTGATGTGCAATATTAAGATATTGTATGGATATGACATCTTGCCTTGACAGTTTACTTTCACGATGTTTTCTTTTCTTGCAGTGTTATTTATTTTCCCTCTGGGTTTGACGATTGCTTCTCTGGATGTGCATGCTACAAGGTGGTTTTGTTGGCTTCCTGGCTCTCCTGCTCGACCTTGTCAAAGAAAGAAATGGAAGGGCCTGCTTAGTGGGTTTTATACTGCTGTTGTTTTGAAAAGTTCTGTTAACTGTTTCTTTGCTGCTGGAGGTTTCAGTAAAGAAGGTAAAGCAAATATGCGCCTCCTGTCTTTAATAAAATTTTTAGATTATTCCCTCACCAAGGCTAGAAAAATCCCTAGTTCCAGGTTTTGTTTACATCACAACTTGCACAATTGACTCTGACCTTAAGAGGTTAATGTTTCAATATGAGATATTAAGGGATACCATGGTTCTTATTTTTGGGGGGGGGGGGCCTTATGGGTATATTTTGGCTGTCATCACTCTAGCCTATTATATCTCACTCAATTCCTTGGCAGTGTGTGTAAAAGATACATTGTGTGCTTCTATACATGTGTACAGAATGCATCGTTTATGTGTGTGTGTGTGTACAAGATGCAATGTATATGGTTTTGTGTGTAAGGAATGCATTGGGTATTTCTGTGTGTGGCCCGGCCACTTACATATGAAGGGTTGTACCCTCTGATGTCCGTTCTAGTTATGGAATTGGATCGCAGTGCTTTAGAAAGTATCAGTAATTGCAGCAACTACAGGAACTTGAAATGTGAGTAACTACATACGTACATGCTGGTCACCAAAACAACTTATGTG